TTTAGTTGGGGGCTGAAGGTGACAGCTAGTGGTGTTCTGTTATTTTCTTTGTTGGGCCTGTCTTGTAGGAGGTGACTTCCCGGAAGTGGGCTTCTGGGATGGATGCCATCCTGTAGGGTGGAGTTGCTCAGTGGCTATTTATTTCATGGTGAAGAATAACTGATGGCTCTGTACAACAGCAGATTCACCTTCTCTGCTGTTTCCTGTCCTGTGATTTAGTTAATATTTAATTCACAGAGGCTCTGGAGCTGAGCTCTGTGGTGCCTTGTAGGCTATCAGAACCCTGTCTCCTCTCCTGTTGCTGCAGTCTAGTGGAACTCCATTTGTTTTGCGGCCACAAAGGAAAGGGAAGGATTGACCCTAAGAGGCATTAACTGTTTCCATTTATCTCTATATGGCATTGTTGCTGCTGTTTGTATTATAGTAGTGCCTAGATACCCCAACTGAGATTAGGGGTCCCCTTGTGCTAGGCACTGTACGTGTACAGGTTTTAGAAAACTGGTGTGTTTCTGGACCTATGGGAGACTACACAAGAGGCTGGGGATGGCTGAAATTTGAGCATTGGCAGCAAGTAATTAAACTTGCAAAAATTGTAGATGCAAATGTTAGAGGCTCTTTATGTTCAGAACTTCTGATGTCTTTGTGAGTGAATAGATTACTATGCTAACAGATAAACAGTAATGTTAAACTTAAGTCTTAAGCCCATCGAAGTCTAATAGCCTCTTGTAGAGTCTAATATATCCCCACCAGTGTATATATGCAGTGACCGTGTCCTCTGAGAAGATCTTCTGAACTGTAGTTCTTTGATCTTTCCGCTCCCTCCATCAGTGTTTTTTAGTCTTCTAAAAGCACCCACTCCCCACTAAGATGTGTGTATATATAAGAGAGAAGTGTTTATGTAAAAATAAGAGAGGTTTAAACTGAAAAAAAATTCAAACAGAGGTTCCAGTAGAAATAGAAACCATGCAAGAGTTCAAAAAGTAGAAACAGGCAGAAATAAAAAACAAAGTAGTTTGAATATCCCACTTTTGCAAACTTCCAAAACAATTTAATGTTTTGGTTTTGTGACCATTAACCTCGTTCTCCTCCGCCTTCTCTTTTTGTTAGTTTCCTACTAGTTACATGTTTAAGCTCTTTTGGAGCCATTACATCATATGTCTGCCCTTAACATAATAGATCCCTGATTCTGATTTCCAGGTGCTACCTGAATATGAATAATAAAAGCATGCATGTGAGCTCCTACCAGACCAGTGTCCAAATGCACAAGTCAGTTCAGATGTGTCTTTTTTTGGTGAGCCAGCAACAGGAGACCGCAGAGCTCAGGAATGAGTGTTCATTAATTTATGTTCTGCTATCATAGCAGGGGTATAAAAATAAGACCGTTTCACTGTACAATTCTAAAACATACTAGAATTCAAAGAACGTTCCTTTGCTTGGGTTGTGAGTTCAAGTGGCCTACTTTGTGAGTAACTATTTTCCTTGTCCCTTTGATTAAATACAAATTATTACTGAAATATTTGTCATTGAGATTTAAATGTCTAATTTAGAAGGTTCCTGAATTAAATTAGGGTTACCATATCTCATAAATAAAAAAAGAGGACCCTCCACGGGCCCTGGCCCCGCCCATTTCCCTAGCCCCACCCCAACTCCGCCCCTTCCCCACCCTAACTCCGCCCCCTCCTCCCTCCCACTCCCAGCCAGGGGGAAAGGGCTGCCCCAGTGCTACCAGCTTCACGGTTTCCCGGGCAGCCCCCAGACCCTGCGCCCCCGGCCGGCGCTTCCCCAGCGCAGCTGGAGCCCGGGAGGGGAAGCACCCAGCCGGGGGGCGCAGGGTCTGGAGGCTGCCCAGCAAACCGTGAAGCCGGTAGCGCTCGGGCTTTGGGCAGCCCCCTTGCCTCCGGACCCTGCGCCCCCAGCCGGGCATTTCCCCTCCAGGGCTCCGGCGGCTCTGCGTAACTTACACTGTATAAGTTACACAGAGCCGAAGAGGAGCAGAGCCCCCGCAGCTGGAGGCTTTGCTCCTCTTCGGCTCTGTTTAAGAGCCGGGCTGCCCCAGCGCTACCGGCTTCGGGCAGCCCCCATGCCTCCGGACCCTGCGCCGCCGGAGCCCGGGAGGGGAAGTGCCCGGCTGGGGGCGCAGGGTCCGGAGGCACGAGGGCTGCCCGAAGCCGGTAGCTCTCAGGTAGCCCGTCTCTTAAACAGAGCCTCCAGCGGCTGCGGCCCTGTTTAACTCACAGTGTGTCAATTACACAGAGCCCCGGGGGCTGGAGGCTCCAGCCGCCGCGGCTCTGTTTAAGAGCCGGGCTGCCCCAGCGCTACCGGCTTCGGGCAGCCCCCATGCCTCCGGACCCTGCGCCGCCGGAGCCCGGGAGGGGAAGTGCCCGGCTGGGGGCGCAGGGTCCGGAGGCATGGGGGCTGCCCGAAGCCGGTAGCGCTGGGGCAGCCCGGCTCTTAAACAGAGCCGAAGAGTCGGGGAGGAGCAGAGCCGCCATTTTCCCGGACATGTTCCGCTTTTTTGCAAATTCCACCGCGCGTGGGGT